TAATAACTAGATACGATCTCGTTGCGAGCAACGAGTGGGTCTTCCGTCCAATTCTTGATGAGATGAGATAAGATTTTGATTGCGATTTTCACTCTAAAATAATGATTTACCACAATCTGTAAAAAGACATTGAACATTAAAGACATAAAAAAATCGGCCTTTTGCCCCTAACGGCCCCTAATTTTAGGAATCAGCCCTTTTTATTCATATCATCTTAAAGATCTTAAGATTTTAAACATTTTTTGTTCAACAACTATTCAGAAATTTTTTTTCGTTTTTGAGCTATTAGCAAAAGAAATATCTAGGGGCCAACCGTTCAACTCCTTAATGGGGACGTTAAGCAAGAAATGAAAGGTTGCATATTGTTCAGAACATTATTTTGAACATCTTTTGTTCAATGTTGCTTATCAAAATATTTCTCCCTTTCGAGATATAAAGCATCAAAGATTTAGCATTCTGGCCCCTTGTGGCCCCTAATTATGTACCATACTATATAAAAACCATAATATATAGTTGTAGATGGTTGAGATGAACATCTTTGCTTCAGTAATGTATTACAAAATATTAACTGATGAAGAGTTATCGATTGAAGACTTTAGGCCCCTCTTGGCCCCTTATTCGAGTGCCCAGCCCCTTTTTTCGGGATCTCATCTTAAAGATCTTCAGATTTTGAACATTTTGTGTTCAACAACTGTTCAGAAATTTTTTTTCGTTTTTGAGCTATTAGCAAAAGAAATATTTAGGGGCCAACCTTTCAACTCCTTAATGGGGACGTTTAGCAAAAAATGAAAGGTTGCATATTGTTCAGAACATTATTTTGAACAACTTTTGTTCAATATTGCTTATCAAAATATTTCTCCCTTTCGAGATATAAAGCATCAAAGATTTAGCATTCTGGCCCCTTGTGGCCCCTAATTATGTACCATACGACATAAAAATCATAGAATATAGTTGTAGATGGCTGAGATGATCATCTTTGCTTCAGTAATGTATTACAAAATATTAACTGATGAAGAGTTATCGATTGAAGACTTTTGGCCCCTATTGGCCCCTAATTTGATTACCCAGCCCCTTTTTTCAGGATTTCATCTTAAAGATCTTCAGATTTTGAACATTTTTTGTTCAACAACTGTTCAGAAATTCTTTTTCGTTTTTGAGCTATTAGCAAAAGAAATATTTAGGGGCCAACCCTTCAACTTCTTAATGGGGACGTTTAGCAAAAAATGAAAGGTTGCATATTGTTCAGAACATTATTTTGAACAACTTTTGTTCAATATTGCTTATCAAAATATTTCTCCCTTTCGAGATATAAAGCATCAAAGATTTAGCATTCTGGCCCCTTGTGGCCCCTAATTATGTACCATACGACATAAAAATCATAGAATATAGTTGTAGATGGCTGAGATGAACATCTTTGCTTCAGTAATGTATTACAAAATATTAACTGATGAAGAGTTATCGATTGAAGACTTTTGGCCCCTATTGGCCCCTAATTCGAGTGCCCAGCCCCTTTTTTCGAGATCTCATCTTAAAGATCTTCAGATTTTGAACATTTTGTGTTCAACAACTGTTCAGAAATTCTTTTTCGTTTTTGAGCTATAAGCAAAAGAAATATTTAGGGGCCAACCCTTCAACTTCTTAATGGGGACGTTTAGCAAAAAATGAAAGGTTGCATACTGTTCAGAACATTATTTTGAACAACTTTTGTTCATTATTGCTTATCAAAATATTTCTCCCTTTCGAGATATAAAGCATCAAAGATTTAGCATTCTGGCCCCTTGTGGCCCCTAATTATGTACCATACGACATAAAAACCATAATATATAGTTGTAGATAGTTGAGATGAACATCTTTGCTTCAGTAATGTATTACAAAATATTAACTGATAAAGAGTTATCGATTGCAGACTTTTCGCCCCTCTTGGCCCCTAATTCAAGTGCCCAGCCCTTTTTCGGGATCTCATCTGAAAGATCTTCAGATTTTGGACATTTTGTGTTCAACATCGGTTAAGAAATTCTTTTTCGTTTTTGAGCTATTAGCAAAAGAAATATGTAGGGGCAACCCTTCAACTCCTTAATGGGGACGTTTAGCAAAAAATGAAAGGTTGCATACTGTTCAGAACGTTATTTAACTTTTGTTCAATATTGCTTATCAAAATATTTCTCCCTTTCAAGATATGAAGCATCAAAGATTTAGCATTCTGGCCCCTTGTGGTCCCTAATTATGAACTATACGATTTAAAAATCACAATATATAGTTCTAGATAGTAGAGATGAACATCTTTGCTTCAGTAATGTATTACAAAATATTAACCGATAAGGAGTTATCGATTGAAGACTTTTGGCCCCTCTTGGCCCCTAATTTGATTACCCAGCCCCCTTTTCAGGATTTCATCTGAAAGATCTTCAGATTTTGAACATTTTGTGTTCAACATCGGTTCAGAAATTCTTTTTCGTATTTGAGCTATTAGCAAAAGAAATATTTAGGGGCCAACCCTCCAACTCCTTAATGGGGACGTTTAGCAAAAAATGAAAGGTTGCATACTGTTCAGAACATTATTTTGAACAACTTTTGTTCAATATTGCTTATCAAAATATTTCTCCCTTTCGAGATATAAAGCATCAAAGATTTAGCATTTTGGCCCCTTGTGGCCCCTAATTATGTACCATACGACATAAAAACCATAATATATAGCTGTAGATAGTTGAGATAAACATTTTTGCTTCAGTAATGTATAACAAAATATTGACTGTAAAAGAGTTATCGAAAAAAGACTTTAAGCCTCTTTTGGCCCCTAATTTGAGTGTCCAGCCCCTTTTTCTGGATTTCATCTTGAAGCTCGTAAGATTTTGAACACTTTTTGTTCAACAACTATTCAGAGACTCTTTTTTGTTTTCGAGTTATTTGCAAAAGAAATATTTAGGGGCCAACCCTTCAGCTCCCTAATGGGGAAGTTTCGCAAAAAATGAAAGGTTGCATATTGTTCAGAACATTATTTTGAACATCTTTTGTTCAATATTACTTGTCAAAATATTTCTCACTTTCGAGATATAAAGCGTCAAAGATTTAACATTCTGGCCCCTTGTAACCCCTAATTATGTACCATAAGATATTAAAATCATAATATACAGTTGTAGATTGTTGAGATAAACATTTTTGCTTCAGTATTGTATAACAAAATATTGACTGTAAAAGAGTTATCGATAAAAGACTTTTAGCCCCTTTTAGCCCTTAATGTGATGAGTCAGCACTTTTTTCTTGATATCATATTAAAGATCTTGATATTTTGCACAAATGTTGTTCAGTATGTTTTAACAAAATAATTATGTTTTAAAAGATATGATGCAAAATGTCTCAAAAAATCACTCATAAAACGTGTCCTAAATTTTGACCTCTACCGAGCTCCCATACTATTTACTTCCGGAAACTATTAAACCTCCCAGTAACATGGGGACATGTCCTCTATCATCACTGAAAATTTCAGCTCTCTAGCTCAAGTCGTTTCTGAGATCAATGACGGACAAGAAGGTCCTCTGAATTTTAATAAAAGGGCGATAACTCTAGACCGGAAGTGATTTTCAAAAAATCCAAAAAATGGTATAAACTTCAGATGATTCTGCATCAACCCTGAAAATTTGAAGCAAATCCATCGAGCCATCTCTGAGAAATCTTCTGCACAAAATTTGTGCAGAGAAAAAGAATAATAATAAGAAAATTGAAAAAGAAACATAAGAATAATAGAAGGGTCTTCCGCTGAAGACGGAAGACCCTAATAAGAAACAATAGAATCACTATAAGGTCTTCCGTGAAGACGGAAGACCTTAATAAGAAACAGAGTAAAAACAATATGTTCCCCAACTTCGTTTGGGGAACATAACTAGAAGCTTGTGGGACATGGCATTGAACCAGAGTGTAACAACATCCAGATTTCCCATTTGAAACAAGTATATACTTCATGGTGAGATATTAGAGACTACCTCATCAGCTCGGAATCTGGGTTTCGATATATCGGATGGCCCTAATTGGAGTAAGCACATCAGTCGGGTTACAAACAAAGCCAACAGCGCCTTTGGCTTCTTACGCAGAAATATACCTACCAGGAACAAGCAGCTTCGGTCAGCAGCATACAAAGCAGTGGTACGTCCACAGCTTGAGTATGTTGCTAGCCTTTGGGACCCTCGTCTGATTACACTTATTAACCAAGTTGAGGATTGCAGAGCTGCAAGGTGGGTGATGTCGGATTTTCGAAGAACATAAAGCGTCTTAGATGTGCTACAAACCTTAGGTTGGTGAAGCTTGCAACAAAGGAGGGTGGATGCAAGGCTTGTACTTATATACAAGATCATACATGGACTAGTCGCCATACCCTCGGTTCAATTCATTCCCCCAAGTAGGACTACCCGTTATCTCATTCCCTCACCTTTTGACTGATACAAACTAGAAAATATGTGTATAAATATTCCTTTTACCCTCTTACAATAGTTCAGTGGAACAGACTGCCGGGCAGTGTTATCTCGCTTCCAGATTTTAAACATTTCAAACTGGAAGTAAGCAAACTGAAACACCCAGACTTAATTATGTTATAGTGTTTTTATATCTTGTAACTGTGAATACTGTTTCTCTTAACTTTTTATCTTCACTAAAACTTAATACTGTTCCCTTTTCACCACATTGAAATTTACTTTCTCTACTTTTTTATATCCTTTAATTAGCTGCGCAACCTACTCAGAGTACTCAAAATTTGAGGGCAAGTAGTATCGAGAGATACATTGTAGATCAATTAGGAATTTATCCGTATATTAAAAAAAATATTACAAATACATTGATCATTAAACAAAAGTTTATTTAATACTCTAGATTGGACATAAAATGCACACCAGATCTTGAAAAAAAAAACTTGGTACAACTCTCGCTCCAATGACCGTCGTTTTACTGCTTTGAGTTCTTTCAGTACTTTGATTCTTCTCCAATTGCTATGCGTCATCACTGGGAACTACACGCTGTTGCAGGAAAAACAGTGCTGCTCAAATCCACGTTAGAGGTCGATCAACAAGATGCTAGACTTTGTGATTTTTGTAGCAACTTTCCTTATAGCTTTACTGACAGCCATTATCTACTTGTATCCGGTAAGAATTTGGTATATTTATGAAATGTCATCTATTTTTTTTACTTAGAGTGAAACGTTAATGTTTGATCATAATGATGGAATAGTTATACAGAGACATATGGGACGTTATTTACTTCGTGTAGCATTCCAGATGTGACATGTCCTGGAAGTGTAAAACGTGAATAGAAAAGGTGTCAGGTTATAGTTTCTACATACACGTAGCTTGTTGCTCATTAACAATGTTAACCTGACACAATTATTTACATGTCCTCTTACGTCAAACAAAGATAAAAGAAATTTAAACATATTAAACGACGTTTCCTAGCTATCCTGTTCTGACTCAAATTTTGATGTTACAAACGTCAAAAGGTGAGTCACATTGGGACAAAAACACGGACTCTTAGGCCTAGAAATAAGCAGAAGAGCATTAGCTTAATCATGGATGCCGAGCTGGAAACACCACTGAACACAGTATTCATAAACTGTAATTTCCCATCTCCACTTACCCATCATTAGAAATGGGATATTTAAATGCCGATGTAACAGAAAGAAGTTACAAAACCAACTATGCACTTAGTACACTGCAGTAGTGACATAATTAACACACTTTACATATTATTACATATTCCTCATCATAATTTTATTGGATATTGACAGTGGCGGATCCAGAAATTTTGAAAAGAGGGGGCCCGGCCAGTTTGAGGTCAGGATAGGGGCCCACAGCCACACCAAAAAAACCTTGATTTATTACATGTATATATTTTGGGACATAAAAGGGGGGGGGGCGGGCCCCCCAGGCCCCCCTCTAAATCCGCCAGTGATTGAAACGGAAATTGGTTTTTGGGATTAAGTTTCATATAAAACGTTAGACCTACGTTTTTCTCCAATTTCTTAAACATTAACATTAAAAATATTAATTTAACAATCATTTAAATAGTTCGTAGCTGCCTATGTACTGGGACTGTATTTGGCTAACGAAACACGTTTTAGAAGAAGCTCGGGATACCTCTCTCTTGACATAGTTATATAACCTTGTCTGTTTATGCTCCTAAACATTGTGATAAGATCTGAATGAGGCACACATTTGCGGTTATTAGGCTGTGAAGGTTAACATTATTAGCTTTTACGTAAGACCTGCATAAGGCAGTAGGTTAATAATAGGAGAGATGGCATACCACAGAAGTTGGGGACGTGCCAAGATGCAGCAGTACATATAGAGTGGCAGGACCACAGAAACTCATTGCGGGAGATACCCGTTGACCTTTGTTAGTGGTTGTCCAATCAAGAAAAAACTGTTTATATTGTAAATCTGTATACAATTGTATATACTGGACTTTGTCAACAAAAACCTGAGTTCCCAAATGGATAAGAAATCTAACCAATCTTTTTGAAAATACCTTTAAAACCCTACCAAAACATACTTTTACGAGGGTTGTGCAAAAACTTCGTGGACAATGACATTTTTTGTGAAAATGAATGGTTCTATATAAATCTGTTGAATTTCAAAATATTTCTTATGAAAAAACAAATCAGAATTATTTATTATTTTAAGTTTTTATTAAAGTCGCAGATAGTGCGCATGGGCCAAGGTTAAAATGACATAAGCTCTGATATAAAGTGTTCGGATTACATTGATTATTTTCTATATAAGGCAGGTCAAAAATTGATAAAAATATTATATAACACAAATAAAGAGGCAATAATCATTTTATGATATCTTAAGTATCACGTAATATACAGACAGTACCAATACTACAGTAGACAGTACAAAACCCTAACAAATGTGTGTCAAAACTCGACAAATAAAGCGACGTCGACTATCCGCACGGAACAGCGTCCGATAAAATATAATTTTTTTATACGGATGAAGCAACGAAAGAAACAAAACATTTGTTAAAACAACTCAAATTTATTGATATTTAGTGAGCAAATTGAATCACCCTATACCTTAACTAAAATATATAGTGTTTTTATATCTTTTAACTGTTAAAACTTTTTTTTTAACTTTTCATCTTCACTGATAACTTAATACTGTTCCTTTTTCATCACATTGAAATTTACTTTTCTCTACTTTTTTATTTCTTTTAACTAGCTCCGCACCCTACTCAGAGTATTCAAAACTTGAGGGCGAGAAGTGTTGAGAGACAAATCGATCGATTAAGGAATTTATCTGCATATTCAAGAAAATATCAATACATTGATCATTAAACAAAAGTTGATTTAATACCCTAGATTTCACATGAAATGCACATCAGATCATGAAACATATCAATGGTACAGCTTTAGATCTCATGACCGTCGTTTTATTGCTTTGAGTACTTTCAGTACTTTGATTCTTCTTCAATCGCGGTCCCGTAGGGATCCGATCCGGGTTGGAATAGGTCCTCAGTACCCCCTTACTTGTCGTAATAGGCGACTAAATGGGGCGGTCCCACGGATGAGACCGTATAAACCGAGGCCCCGTGTCACAGCAGGTGTGGCACGATAAAGATCCCTCCCTGCTTGCTCAATGGCCCTGAGTGCCGAGCATAGGCCCAAATTTGCAGCCCTTCACCGGCAATGGTGACGTCTCCATATGAGTGAAATATTCTGGGATGGGACGTAAAATGGTCTTCAATCAATCAATGAATCTTTAATCGCGAAGCGTCATCACTGGGAACTTGTTTTACACGCTGTCGCAGTAAAACGATCCACGTTAAAACTCATTCAACAAGATGCTGGAGTTTGTGATATTTGCAGCAACTTATCTTATAGCCTTATTGATAGCCATAAATTACTTGTATCGGGTAAGATTTTTGTATATTAATGACATGTCATAAATTTTGTCACTTAAAATGTAACGTTAATGGTTGATCATCATGATGGAATAGTTATACAGAGACACATGGGACGTTATTTACTCCGTGTAGCATTGCAGATGTTACATGTCCTGGAAGTGTGAAATGTGAATTTAAAAGGTGTAAGGCTATAGTTTTTACAAATACGTAGCTTGTTGCTCATTAACAATGTTAACCTTACACAATTATTAGCATGCCCTCTTACGTCAACCAAGATAAATTAATGTAAACATATTAAATGATGTTTCCTACGTTACAAACGTGTAAAGGTGAGTCACATCGGGAATAACCAGAGGTACATTAACTTGTTTATAGGTGCCGACCTTGAAACAGAACTGAATACAGAATTCATCAGCTGAAATTTCTCATTCCTCCTTACCCATCATTAAAAATGGGATATTTAGATGCGGATGTGATAGAAGGAAGTTAGCAAGCCAATTATGCGCTTATTACAGTGCAGTAGTGACACAAATAAACACACTTTACACTTTATTACATATTCCACTTGATAATTTTAATGGATATTGAAACGGAAATTAGTTTTTGTGATTTAGTTTCTTATTAAACGTTAGACCGACCTACGTTTTCTTAACCACTAACAATTTTAATTAAACTATCATTTAAGTAGTGTGTGGCTGCCCATTTACCGGGTCTGCATTGAGCTAATGCAACACGTTATAGAAAAAGCTCAGGAAAGCTCAGCTCTCTCTCATGACATAGTTATATATAACCTTGTCTGTTTATGCTCCTAAACATTGAAATAAGATCTGAATGTGGCACACATTTTGCTGTGAAGGTTAACATTAACAGCTGTTACGTAAGACCTGCATAAAGCAGTAGGTTAATAATAGGAGAAGTAGCATTCCACAAAAGTGTGGAAAGTGCCAAGATGCAGCAGTACATATAGAGTGGCAGGACCAGAGAAATTTATTGCGGGAGATACCCTTTGACCACAGTTAGTTGTTGTCCAGTCAAGATAAAACTGTTTATATTGTAAATCTGTATATATTTGTATATATTGAACAAACATTTAAGTTCCCAAATAGAAAAGAAATCTAACAAAATAGTTTGAAAATATCTTTAAAACCCTACCAAAACATACTTTTACGAGGGTTGTCCAAAAAGTTCGTGGACAATGACGTTTTTGTGAAAATAATTGGTTCTATATATATCTGTATATCAAAATATTTCTTATGAAAAACAAATCAGAAAGATTTAGTTTTTATTGATGGAGCTTAGTATTTTCGTAACAATCGGAGTCTTTAAAGGTCGCAAATAATGCACACGGACCAAGGTAAAAATGACAGACAGGTCTAAAATTGATAAAAATATTATGTAACACAAATAAAGAGGCAACAATCATTTCATGATATCATGCGAACAATCTCCGACTTTTAAAGACCCCGATTAATACACAAATATTACGTTTCATGAATAAAAATGAAACCTTTCTGATTTAGTTTTTCATAAGAAATATTTTGATATACAATGCATCTTCAACCATTTGTTTTGACAAAAACGTCATTGTTCACGAACTTTTTGGACAACCCTCATATATTTTGTCTGTATGTTTTGAAAGTGTTCATATAAGGTAACATCAATACAATACTTTACAGGATTGGGGTGATATGGTATTTTGGTAATGTTTCATTTCAATGTTGGTGTTTTATTAATGTTTCATCACACTCTAATGAAAATTGCATTTTGAATGTATTTCGTTACACTTGTCTGCATAACAGTAAAATTGTGTTAACATTTCATTTCATTAACAGACATGTTTAGGGTTGACTTACCTAGAAGCTGTAAAAGCTTCCGACAACAACTTATCTATTTACATCCTGTGTTAGACTAGAATTTGCGCCAATTTTAAACAACAAAGAGTTTGGTGTAGGGACATACAAAGTGTTAGTATATATATAGATCCCTGATTGGAAAGAGCAAAATCAGGATGAATCTGTATATAAAAGAGTTATTTATTGCATGACATTAAGTTCTCAGTGAATGTGGATGTGTATATTGCATATTTTAATGGGTTCTAATTTATTTAAAGATTGACCTTTAATCCATATACTAGCTTAGATCAGTTTAAAGCATTGGAGTAAGTGATGAATTATAATACTTGAAAATTCTCTGAAAATGTATGTGATTAGAGAAGTGGCCAATGACGTGAAAATTATCTCTCAAACTAAAGGAATTAAACTGCAGAAAATGATATAAGAGAGTGAACTTGCATGGTGTTTTATAATGTTGTGATGGTGTGCTATTGTTTATTGAACAATAATGTCAATATTGGAATTCCAAATACTGTGAAACTAGACGTGTTTATAATGTTTCAAAATGAGACTGTGTTTACATGTTTTAAAAGAATTGTTGATTTGTTAATTATTATTATACAAAAAATCAAATTGAGTGTTTTATTGATGATTTGTTACGTATGATTTCTTAATAGTTTTTTAAAGTGTTTTGTTAGCTCATTTGCATATGGTTTGCTATACTATTGGAATACTTTCAAAACACTGTTTTGTTAGTAGTTTGTAATAGTATTTTGTTTCCCTTTTTCCAATTGAGTTAACATGTTGGGGAACCTAAGTGTAACGCCTCGGTGATACAAGACATATCACCACACACCAAGCTCGACCGCGTTGCACTTTACAATATTATTAAAAGACTTGAGAGCACTCATGGTAATAATTTACACAACCATTTCAGCCTGTAGTTTACTATAGATAAAAATTGCTAACACACCACTTAAAACACCTAATGTTACATAATTTTATTTAAATAAAAACAATATGAATCACCTACCTGATAATACACAACGTACACAATTGCGCCATCTTGAATTGTTCTAGGTTTGTATCCTTATTTGTATGTGTATGTCACATAATCATCCCGGGGTGTTAATGTGACGGAGGGAGGGAGCATTTAGTCGCGACGTCGTTGTGACACCGACTTGAAGCTCCCTAGTGTTGGGACAGGGACATCTTTTTCTTCCGGGCCTGTGGTTCCAGTCTTTAGCAGTGCACACAAAGAATGAGATCTTGTATTGGTCTGTCTTTGCGTTTGGTATTTTCAGTGCTTTTCCATTGCTCCTTTTACTGATTAAGATGCATAATTTATAAACTTCACTATGACTCTTAATTCTGTGAATGGGTATTTGATTTCGATCGATGAACGGTACGTGTTGCCATGGTTACTAAAAATAGAAATTTCTCTGAAATACTTTCAAACTGCTTTTTCTCCTACATTTTTAGTCTGATTTCAACATAACTTTTCCGAAAAGTTGACTTACCTACGAGAATTTTTTGTCTTTTTTAAGAAAGAATATTGCAGCAACTATTTAGATGAAGGAAGCTAGGGGGTCGACAGATTATTTTTTTATTAACAACTAGATATAACTTATCATTTTTAAATATGATATCTTGAACTGTCAATTATCATTCGGGAAAGAAAAAAATCATTTTGTCTTTTTATGGATAGAGCTCTTCTTCTTAAGGAGATCAAAATAGTCTAAAAATGGCCACGATCACCCAACCTCTTTAATAAGCAAAATATTGAATCACAGTTAGAATGTAAACTTTGTTTATAATTACAACAGACCTAAATATTTTCAATTTTTTTCCTTTTATATATGCATAATTATTATAATTAAAGATTTTTATAAAGTTAAACATTTTTTTCAGGGATCCAGAAGAGTTACAAGCATACCAGGTCCAGAGCCAACAACAAAAAAGTAAGTGATTTTTCTCTCTATGTTTTGCTTCATTTTAATTTGATTTATATATAATCTAACCTAAGTCAGGGACTCAAATCTCCTGCACTACCATTGAATAATAGGCTATTTTGTATTTTTTTTATTCAAACTAAGGATAAAAATTGGTTTTGACCATCAGGTTTGTCACAGTACTGCACCATGATTATTCTTAAAAGGTCAAAGTCATTCAGTTTAAGTATCAGGGTTTCTGTTCTCATCATAAATTGTAAGATCATGCTTTTTTCTGGGTTGAAAATGGTCGAATAAAATGTCTTGAACCTCGCATGTAAGGTATTTGATAAGGTGAAGGTCATTTTTTTTCTAACCCCCGCCCCCGCCGGTGTTGGGGGGGGGGGTATATTGGAATCGCCATGTTCGTCTGTCCGTCCGTCTAGCTGCCCGTCTATCTGTAGACGAGATTTTGTCCGGACCATTACTCAGAAACTATTGAAAGGAATTGTCTGAAAATTTGTAAACATATTATTCATCATACGACGGTGTGCACCTGATATTTTCATCTTGATTGGGTGATTTGACAGGTGTTTTTTTTCATTTTTATTTTGTAGTTTTGTGCAGACCGTTTCTCAGAAACTGTTGCAAGGATTTGTCTGAAATTTTGTACACTTGTTATTCACTATATGAAAGTGTGCTCCTGAAATTTTAAACTATGTTTGTTCATTTTTCTGCATTTTACATGTTTTATTTTTTCTTTTTAATTGACTTGTTCATTTTGGGCTCATTTATAAGGTTTGATAAATAGAATCTAGAATATTTGTACAAAAATATGAACTTCAGCTTAAAATTACTCACAAAAAAAGAAAAATCATCAAGTGTTAAAAACACTTTTTACATTACACAGAAAATTAAGTAAATTCATTTGTCTCTTGGGAATAATGACTGGACATTCATCCAGTTAAAGATATATTAATACGTTTGGTGTGGGAAGTTGTTAAGGCATCTCTTTTCAACCATGTTTTATCTATATCTCCTGGGAATTTGTCACAAGATTTGAAGATCTTACTTCTCTTATTCTCTTTATTGTTATTTATTGTTTCAAAACACTTCATTACTGGATTACCAGCTATTTATTATTATCAAGTTTTCAAGATTAATTTGATTTTGTATAATATGATTTTTTTCAACAATCAGTTTGCATAGTGTCATGACACATAATTGTGACATATATTTTTATTGCAGAAATAAAAAAAAATGTTACAATGGAACTACAATGTATTCATATTAATATTTCATTTGGTTACACCTTTGTTTTATTCATTAAGAAACATAATGAGCAATTGTATTTCACTGCAAATTTTTGTAAGTAAATTGTGAAGACCTCTAGATCCATAAAGTATTTGTGAATAAGCACCTTCTATGAAAAACCCAGCGGGGGTGTTTGTCCCTATTGGACAGCTCTAGTTAGCCCTGAATGGTTATATATAGGTCAAGGTCAGGTTACACAGGAGTGATAAGGACTTTGGACAATGGCATTTTAAAGCTACAACTGTGGATGATCAAATTTTCAAAATTTAACAAAGCAAAACTTGCTTAGTACAAACACAGATGTTGCAAATTCACGGATATAGCGCAGTTATCTTGGATCCCCACTTTATTATTTGATTAATACATTATAATAAATTACAGATATAGCGAAGTAATTTCATAGGTCCCAATGACATCGCTATAACCGAGTTTTACCTTACAACAACAAGTGTAGCATCCTTTAGCCTAGAACCTCAGAAGATACAGTATCATATGGAATCCGGATAGGGCCACGCAGTTCAATATCGCATCATCGCACCATCGAGCTTTGAGTCGATCGTGCGATGACGCGATAATGCGATGACGATGAAGCAATGAAACGATAACGATGAAGCGATGGTGCGATAGCGCGATGACGATGATGCGATGGCGCGATAGTGCGATGACGAACAAGCGATGGTGCGATGGAGCGATAAAGCGATGACGCAATGGCACGATAGCGATGCTACGATGGTGCGATAGCAATGATACGATAATGCGATAACGATGAAGCGATGCTCTATCGTGTCATCATCAGTGCTGTATCGCACTATCGTCATCCCATTATCGCACTATCGCGTTATCGACTCTTATGCGCATGCGCTATTGAGAAAAGAAATGGCGTCAGGTAGTGAAGATTTGAACAGAATATATAACAGAATATATATAAAATATAGATCTTACTGGGTTAATAAACTTCATTTGGGCATTAAAATTAACCATGTCTTTCTTGCCAGACATATAACTAGTTAGAAGATTGAGAAAATATAGTTTGATAATCAAGATAAGTTTGACAATACACTCATCTTGAGACTGATGTAAAAGAAATCGAAATCCGTGTGATCTAGATTTTAGTTTTTAAACGGGGGGGGGGGGGGGGGTTAATATTGTGGATTGGAAAATAATTACGATGGTTTTAGTTTCACTATGTTTGCAATAATTCATTTTTTATCCGCAAAATTAAACCCATCGTGAATGCTATCTTTAACTATTAAAAACAAGTAAATGATATATACGAAATTTAAATTGATTTCTTGCATCGTGAAATCAGGGACCTATATACTAGTATATAGTATTCACAATCAAGAAAATTAAAAGCAAACAAAAGACAAAAGTCTTCCTCCCTTTCTCCTCTTGGTACATGTACTTCGTGTTTGTTATTTAAGGGGATGAAGTACCTTTAGCTGAAAAAATACCTGTCATTTAATTTTTCTCATATTTTGTATATATCTTTTTTAGTATGTCCTACATACTATAAAGCAGACATATCAATAGGTTTCTAGACTTATTTCTGAGATATTGAGTGACAAATACCATACCCAACAGTGTCTGAGCGGAGTTTTTATTCTCCGTGTTTCTGGGTCCATTACTCGGTCTATAAATGAAATTTTTCACCATAGATAAAAAATATACCAGCGGAAATGTGTCTTTTAAAATATTTTATAGTATGAATAAGGCTAAAAATTCGAAAAAGCAAGATTCTCTTGTAACACCACATCTGGAGACGGAAATTTACGACTTTTTTAGGACAACTTAAACCATAAAAAAATTAATTTGCAAAAAATCCTATCATTCAATATTTGAAAATTTACGTCGAAGTTCAAGGTCGTCATTGTATTGATTAACTGTAAAAATATCGATTGGTGAAGCTGAGCTCAATATTGCATTGGGCAAAGTTAAACGAGTCATGATCATGAGAAAAATGTGTCATGTTTACATTTCTCGAGTATGGGAAAACCCAACTATGACGTCACACATTCCTGAAATAAGCGAAATAAGACAAACCCACAGAACTTTTCCGTCAACAACCATGTAAAAATATTTTTTGCGTTCTGAAATTTACAAAATACCCAACCATGTACATATTACGGCCCGTTTTTATGATTTTATACTACCCGTTTTTTACTGTGTATGATCTTACGGAACTAAGAGATCCTCTATGACGTCAAAGACGCACAGGACGCGCAGAGTAGGGAAACGGCAGAGTGGATTAATCTATTCCGTAATTTGTTAATATTTGCAAAAAAATTTGAATGTTTTCAGATATTTTTATACTAGATGGTGAACGCAAACAAACAGTCAAAAAATTATACAAGTACTGTGGTTTCAATCTCGTTTTTTACATATTTTATCAGAGATTATGACGTAAATCAACTGAGTCACGTGATCATACATCCTTCATCCCCTTAAAATATGATTATTAAATACAAAATTAAAGTCAATTTATGATCACTGGGCAATCAAATCCTTGCTTGACTTTTAACTACTAAAGGTAATGCACATGGATTTTCTTCTGTATAAAACCATGATTTCTTTATCATCGTATCCGTTAATGAAATATTCTTGAATCTTTTCATCAACAAACGCCATGTTGTGCAATGACTGCTGGGAATGCCATCCTATCTATAAAGTCGATAGAGCGATGGTGCGATCACACGATGTCGATAGCGCGATAAAGAAATAACGATGACACGATATAGCATCCCATCATCACTATCGCGCTATCGCATCATCGCTGTCGCACCAACGCATCATCGCTATCATGCCATCGCGTCATCGCATTATCGCTTCATCGTGCCATCGCATCATCGTCGTCGCGCTATCGCGTCATCGCTTCATCGTTATCGCACCATCACGCCATCGTCATCGCATTATCCCGACATCGCACCATCGACTCAAATCTCGATGGTGCGATGATGCGATAGTGAACTGCGTGGCCCTATCCGGATTCCATAGTATCATGCTTTTGAAAAATTCTCTGAGGATATGGGGTTTAAAGTTGGGACGGGGAATGGGGGAGCCTGGAGAGGTCAGTGTAGCTCTGGTAGGACAGTTTTTTTATGAAATAGAAAATGTTTCACTCAAACACAACTACCTGATGCTGAAAGAAAATAATCATGGATATTTAAAATCAAAAAGATGGTTGATTGGATTTTTTAATGATGTTCATTATCATAACAATCTAAACTATTATAGGGATTTTAGATTTTTAAATAAATTTTATTTTAATTATCATGATTATAACAATTTTTTTATTACATAATGTATGATTATGGTTAAAGATATTTTAGATTTTTTTATGAATTTTATTATTTTATCATTTTTTATTAGGTAATGTATGATTATGGTTATAGAGATTTTGGAATTTTAGATGAATATTTTTTTAATGAATATTATCATATCAATTTTCATTATGTAATGTATGATTATGGCGTTGGAGATTTGTGAATTTATGTTATAATGAATTTTATTATTATATCATCTTTTAATACGTAATGTAACATTATGGCTATATAGGGATGGGAACCTGTCAGATATTGTCCGTGCTGGGAGTCTACATGAATACCTTCAGGAGCTACACGATCAGTACGGGGACATCACCGCCTTCTGGATGGGACAGGAACTCGTCGTCAGTATCTGTTCTCCTGAACTCTTCAAACAGCACGCAGCCGTGTTTGATAAACCACGTACGTTAACAGTAAAACAGCTATCAGAATTACAGCAACTGCAATCCATTAATTTGAGATAAGTCTGAATTTTAAAAAATGGAAATAACTACAGTGTGTAATTAATGATTGAAGGATTAGTTTGGGGCATAGAGTTGCTATACCAAAAGAAATTTATGAAACTTGCATGCCAAACAAAATGTACTGTATGTTAGATTATGAATTTGCTTTAAAAACTAAAGAACATCTTTATCGTTTAACAATATTTTATACTGGTGATAAAATCCTACTTTGCATTTAGTTAAGATTTTCAGTGGAAACTCATTTATATAAATAAATCTTAAAGTTAGTTACAGAAGATTGAAATAAAGACTTTAATTGGAGTAGACTTCAATTTTCATAAATTACAATTTTAAAGAGGGTTAACATTTTTGACAAAAAAAAATTGATTGAAGTCTTAAAATATATTAAAAATTCTTATTTTAATGGATTTTCCTGACAGCTTCCTTAAATGAGCTTTTTAAGCCACTGTTAGGAGAGAAGTCAATTCTGTATGCCAACAAGGCTGAGGGTAGAAAACGGAGAAAGTGTTACGATTCTGTGCTGGCTTATGACTACCTACATCACTACTACCCAGCTATACAGGAGGTAGGTACTACATGTACTAGTCAAGGTACAATGAAGGGTGACTGGGGGCTTACCTCAATTGTCAAATCAGCGAATGCCTTCATATCACATGCATAGTCAGGTGCCTATATGATTATCTATAGATCAATAGTATAATGGTCCCTGGTATAGTCTATAATTTCTTTTCATTTGAATCAATGTACTTTAAAACACTTTTAAACTTCTCAATCAATACTTACTCACATCTAATGCCAAAGAAAAGAACCGTCATATCCGATGAATGGACGTGTTCTCCATTTTAAAAGAACCGTTCACGGTAGCTCAGTCGGTAGAGCGCTTGCTCCGTGATCGGGAGGTCGTGAGTTCGCATCTCAGCCGCGACCGACCAAGTCGTTAAAATGGGTAGCAACTGTTCCTTCGCCATGCGCTCGGCACTTTGAAGTGAAAGTTGCGGGTCCTTCGGATGAGACCTTAAAAACCGACGCCCCGTGTCAGCGGCAGGCGTTGGCACGATAAAGATCCCTCACTGTTCAATGGCTCTGAGTGCCGAGTAAAGGTAAAAATTTGAAGCTCTTCACCGGCATACGGTGACGTATCCATATGAGTGAAAAATTCTCGAGAGGGACGTTAAATAATATACAATCAATCAATCCAGTTTAAAAGGATCATGAAAATTCATGTTGTTGTTGTTTACTGCTACACAGTGGAAACACGTTTAATCTCGATTAATATCAACAATCGTGATAAGTCGTGTAAATGCGAGTTTTTGTATTAAATCATTGTGCTTTAATTTTTTTTTATTATAAATTTCATGGCAGTATAGATTTAATTGTATTTTATATTTAAAGTATATTAAAGCAAACAGCAAAAGAAAATATGATTTTTTCGACGTAGACTTTTAGGAATCAAATTTTTTTTATCAAATGAATATTCAATGAACTTTATTGCACGTTATATAAAAAAACAATACTACAATTCTCTAAAGGTGTAAAGATAATATGTGTTTTTTTTTTAAATCAATTATTTTTTAATAAAGCATTTATTTAAATAGTACTGTTATAATTAAATATAAAAGTACTATATAAAAGTACTAAACATGTTGTTCCAAGTGAGGCCCAACGAAAACGACCTTGACATTAAATAATGACTACACACTAATTTTTACAAAAAATTAAGCGGAGGTTCAAAATTCAAACTATTGTAATTCAGAAAATACAGAAAATAAAGAGTCCGATGAAGGCTTGTTGAAATTGAAATTCACCTTTGCCCGCTGTATTTTGTTTTCCCTATTTCAGTACAGAAATACAAGTAAAACTGTGTTTAATTTTAATATTAAGAATAAAACCTAGAAAAATCACATGCGTGGAAAAAAATTCTTGTTTTTACAAAATCGTAAATGTAAAGGCAATATTTTTTACACATTTTTAAAGCAGAGAAAATATACTTTTTAAATATATTACATCGTAGGGAAAATCATCCTTGCTTTGGAAATTACGTCCTTTTCGAAAAGTCATGAATGAATGCAAAATTTAAAATCTATCCAATACCGATTAAAATGGCTAAAAAATTTTACAGTGTTTGAAAATACAGAAATTTTCCCAAAAAATGATATATAGATTTTATATGCTATTATTTATGCTAGTATTAAAAAGATACGGAGATCCTATTATCGGGATGTCGTGTTTTAACGCGCTATCGGTTATATTGACCGATGCGGTAGGGAAGGTGTTAAACAATATTTTATTCACAGATGTTAAGATGAATAGGATTGGGCAGCAGGCTCAGTCTATTTTAGCCCTCTCTGTAATATTATCTGCATCAGTGAAAAGACTAATGATTTTAATTGTATATTTTTTTCTTTTCTGTTCTAAACCAGTAATTATTTTTGCATTATCAACAGATTTCCGATAACTTGGTGAAGAAATGGTCCAGTATAGCCAAAGACGAGCACATACCCTTGGCTCAGTACATGATCGGGTTCGCTTTGAAGCTGAAGCTTGTCAACTTGTTTGGGAGTAAATCCTTGTTAGACGAACAGATTCGCGAATTCAGTCATCATTTTGACAGTGTACGGTCAGCTTTAATAATGTAGAATCATTGTTATGTGGGTGTGTAGATCTCTAAGATAATTACTTGTAAGTTATGTTTGTGTATGAATTTTTTGTTGTTGTTGTTGTTATTGTTTTTGTTTTTTTTTATTTGTTTATTTTTCTTACAAACATACAAATATACAGAAACTTTCACACATCCTTTCATACATGTTGGAACAGAAGACAATAAGTATATTAGCAATAATTAGTCAAGAAGTCATTTTCAAAATTAGACACATTAAATAGACATTGCCAATTGGACCAACGTTTTTCATAAAAAGTATTTTCTGATAGTTTTTCTTCTTAAATATAATAATTATATAAAAATCTCAAAATATCTTTGAAAACAATACGAGAATTGTTTCTGGATTGCTGAAATGAATATTTCTTCACTAACAGAGTACTCAAGTTAATAGCTACATGATCTTTTTCAAAACTACCAAAAGTCTTTGCATCAAATTCATTTCTTTTAGCAGACATTTAAAAAAATCCAATCTAACAATACCAGCCAAACCACAGAAACCTGTGGACAGTATAAAAATTAATGTTTAATTGTTTCTGGTTCTTGTTCACATAATGAACAAAGTGGAGAATCTTTAATTTTAGACAAACGTTAGTATTTATTTAAGGAATGAAGCTAATTTCAAGCTATGTTATATGATATAACATAACTTGGGGCAGTTTACGCTTTATAAACCGCGAAGCGGTTTATAAAAAAGCGTAAACTGCCCCAAGTTTTGTTATATCGTATAACATAAGTTGAAATTAGCTTCATTCCTTATAATTTAATTTCAGTACAGACAATAAGACAATTTTTTCTCCAGAATAAGGCTTCAAATTGAGCATTATTTTAAAAGTAACGTCAACCGGGGTAATACGTTTTTGACGTAATTCATTGTGACGTAGGCAAGTTATGTTATGCAAAATATTATATGTTCCTCTGAATGATTCAGCCAATGAAATTGCTTGATGTAAGTGAAATTAAATTATTTGTACCTAAAATTCTATGAATAATTCTATAATCGAACCATATCAGTGAATCTTTAGTTAAGTATTTTAAGTTTGTATAAATTTGCTTCCACTTAAAATCAGATTCCAACTTTAAATCAATAGCCCATTTGTTTTTCACAAATAGATCTTTAATGTCCGATCGCTTCTTCATGACCTTTATGTTGGCTTCCATGGTTTTAAGCTTTATTATAATTGGCCGGTGTTGGTCTTTATTTCCTGGAATCCTATGGATTGCTAGAACGTCATCTACTTTAACTGCCCACGTGCACTCCACGCGTCTTACCTCCAGCTATTACTGTTACTGTTACAAGGGTATACATATTAGATATTTATACCCCCACACAGAAGGACCTCAACCGACTTCTTGTTTTATAGGCATGGCAGGAAATGGAGAGGAGGTTAAGAGAGGGTTTCCCCGAGGAAGGAAGTTCAAGAATGAAAGCTTTTGAGGAAGGTAAGATTTATCTTGGCTAAGTGATGATTTTTTTTCGCAACACAACCTATTGGACACTTTCATGCTTAGCAAGTACAGCGGCACCTTACAATGAAGACTGCCTTAATATTTGATGTGCTAAAGGCATGACATACCTCTTATAATATTCATGATGTCACAATTCATCACAAACCTTCTCCTTAAATTTTAAATACGCCACAGAAAAACACATATAGTGTTCTAATGATATTGACATTTCAATTTAAACATGTATCTTCAAGTTCAGCATAGACTGTGCAGGACAATTTACTGAATATTCTTGGTTGACTTTTTCTTTGTTTATCATGCAGTAGTACTGGTACGTAAAGCAATAAATTGTATAATTTATGAAAGTTAAAACTTTGTAAAGATTAGACTAAATGCTACTTTTCACCTTCTCTCATTCAGCCAAGAAAAGAATTTCGGAGCAATTCAACAAAATGATAAAAAACCGAAAAAAACACAAAAAAGACCCAAATGAATATTTATTGATTGACGCCATACTAGACAACACAACAGATGAGGAACAGATCCTCTCAGATGTCATAACTTACGCCATTGCGGGGCTTAACACAACAGGATATGGTAATATTTATGTACTTTGATGCAGTATACGAGCAGGACTAATAGACAATCAGACTAAGATAGTATTACCTGTACATAGTAATCTTTCATGTTTTAAATTCTAGCTAGCACACAGTTTTAAAATTGGCAAAATATTATCACACTTCTTACATGGGCTGTGTACTTTTTATTTCACAGTTCTAACATAGATAGTATACATTCTATTTCACAGATTTAACATGAGCAGTGTATTTTCTATTTCACAGTTCTAAGATGGGTTGTATACTTTAAATTACACAGTTCTATAACATAGACAGTATATTATCTATAATACAGTGAATTTTCTATTTCACACGTCTAACATGGGCAGTATACTTTCTATTTCTTAGTTCTAACATGAGCAGAAAACTTTCTATTTCGCAGTTCTAACATGGACAGTGTATTTCTAGGTCACCTGAGTAAATCAGGTGACCTATTGCTATCCGTTTTCGTCCGTCGTCCGTCGTTTGTTAACATTTGAACATTTTCAGCTTCTTTTCTGAAACCACTGAACCAATTTCAACCGAATTCGGTTTAAAGTATATATGGGCAGAGGGGAACAAAAATTGTGAATTTCATTGTTCTGGCCCCCCTGGGGCCTGAGGGGTTGGGCCAAAACCACTAAAATAATCTTTAAAAATCTTCTCCTTTACTCCTGGACATCAAGCAGGCAAACTGTTGACATGAATGTAATAGACATTGAGGCCTCTACCAAAATTGTGAAATTCATTGCCCCAGAATCAGGGGGTTCTAGTGCTAAGGCGGGGCTATTTAGATTAAAGAGTGAAAATGCATTATTTCTTTGAAAATCTTCTTCTCTGCTCCTGGGTTGTAAATAAACTAAGCACATAGTTTTGATGAGCAAGAGTGCCTCTTCCAGATTAAGGAATTTTATGGCCCTAGGGTCAGAGGTTCTGGTTTTAGGGCAGGACTCTATTGACTGTATAGTGAAAATGCATTATTCTTTTAATATATTCTTCTCTGCTTCCGGGTATTAAATAAATTAACTAAAAACAAAGTAATGATGAGCAAGAGTGTCCCTTCCAAAATTGTGAATTTCATGTCCCCAGGGTTTGAGGTTCTGGTGTTAAATTGGGTCTCAATAGATTATATAGTAATCATACATTATTTCTTTGAAAATACTTTCCTTTGTTTCTGGGTTTTATTCAATTATCCTAGTATATATATTTATGATGAAGAAAGATGCATATAGCAAAGTGTTTTTTATGCCCCCTGGGTCGAGGGGGGGGGGGTACATAGTCTGAAAATAAATCAATGCTTTGAAATCTGCTCTTTGGTATTTATCAACCATTTTATGATTAAATTTGCAAAATTTTGAAATATGTGGCCCCTGGGTCAGTTGTTATTTTGGGGTGAGGTGCACAACTGGGTATAAATTGAAAGTGCATTTTCTCTTTGATACTTTGATCTTCCTCTTTGTATTAAGTAAATAGAGTAAGCATGCTGAGTTAATAATTATGATAAGCAATGGTGCCTCTTTTAAAATTGTGAATTGTGAATTTCATGGCCTCTGGTTTAAAACACGAACCAAATTTAATTGTTTGAAAGTTGTTACACAATACTCAGATGAACTATTAGGCCCTTGGGCCTTTTGCCAATTTCACAGTTCTACGATGGGCAGTATACTTTCTATTTCGCAGTTCTAACATGGGTAGTATACTTTTTATTTCACAGTTCTAACATTGGCATTATAATTTCTATTTCACAGTTCTAAGATGGGCAGTATACTTTCTATTTCTCAGCTCTAACAAAGGCAGTATACTTTCTTTTACATAGTTCTAAAATGGGCAGTATATCTTCTGTTTCACAGTTCTAACATGGGCGGTGTACTTTCTTTGTCTCAGTTCTAACATGGGCAGTATACTTTCTTTTACATAGCTCTAACATGGGCAATATATTTTCTGGCCATCCATCAGGACATACAAGATAAAGTCTACAAAGAGATCAAAAAAGTTCTAGGAGAAGAAGATGTTGACCCTAAATCATACAAAGATTTAGTGTAAGTAGGATGTAGTTTAGTATCCTTTATAAGTAGGATGTAGTTTAGTATCTTATATAAGTAGGATGTAGTTTAGTATCCTTTATAAGGAGGATGTAGGTCTTCATACAAACAAAGATTCAGTGTATGTACATGTAAGATGTAGTTTAGTATCTTTAATAAGGAGGATGTATACAAACAAACATTCAGTGTATGTACATGTAAGATGTTGTTAGTATCTTTAATAAGTAGGATGTAGGTCTTCATACATACACAGATTTAGTGTATGTACATGTAAGATGTAGTCTTGTATCTTTACTAAGTAGGATGTAGTTTGGTATCTTTAATAAGTAGGATGTAGTTTGGTATCTTTACTAAGTAGGATGTAGTTTGGTATCTTTAATAAGTAGGATGTATACAAACATTCTGTGTATGTGAACCTTAGTACAGCTAGAGATTAAGTATAAAAAAGATATACGTGTAGGTCCTTAAACAAAGATTTACCGGTAGTGTTAGTTAAGACCTTGGTATAGCAAAAAGTGTATAAGTGTAGACCTTATCAAACATATTCAGAGATTTACTATCAGTAGGATAGACAGTAAAATTTGGTTATAAGAAAGTCACTGGGGCATGTGAAATTACTTCACTATATCCGTAATGCCTAGGATCAGTATAACAAAATTGTAAAGATAAAATAGTTGGGAATTAATAAATACTTTGCTATATCCTATAAATTTGCAATATTTGTGTTGGTTCTAAAGTTTTACTGTAGACCATAGTTAGACAAAGGCATACTATGTATAGATACAGGAATGTTTTTGTCCCTGTTTTATTTAGCCCCTTTTGCCCTAATCACAGGCTGATGAATTTAAAACGAGGTGAATTAAAATAACACAATATAATTTCTTCAACAAAAGTATGACTAAGCAAATTTAAAATGTCTGCAGATATGAAAGGCCCAAAATTAAAAGGGGGTGAAAATAACCCTGCATGTACACAGTAGTGGTTTGTTCTGAAATAACTTGGCTGTTCTATGTTGCTGTGGAATCGCATTATTTCTACTCATTCAGTCTCAGATGTATTTTTCCATTTTGTCATTAGGACGACTTGAAGAAGTATTATGCTTTGCACCTAATCCCAATGATTTTGTTTTCGTTAGGTACCTACACCAGGTTATTGACGAGACTTTAAGGTGTGCTAGTTGGCCCCTGGGCCGCTAGATTTCAGGATTTTGACTCTGAACTTGGAGGGCATAAAATTCCAAAAAATGTAAGACTCCTCCTGATTCTGATTTTAAACATTGATTTCATCATGAAAGCTTGTCTAGAAAGCCATATAGAGAAAATGATAATATTTTAACTATGTTGGTGTTTTTTCAGACATAATTCAAATATTTTTAACTGTGAAAATGATAGGAAACTGATGGAACCGAAGTGGCATTTGCATACATGGAGCCATCATGTGCATTTACATGCATTATGTATACCAATTTTTACCCCCAATAAACTTTATTTCGCTATTTACCAGGGATAAACTAGTTTGTGATGATTCATTATACCCCCGCTCCGAAGCAGAGGGGGGTATACTGTTTTACCCTTGTGTGTCTGTCTGTCCGTGGGTCTGTGTACGTGTAGCTGAATGTCCGTCTGTAACACATTTTCGTCGCAGTTTTCTCAGCAACTACTCATCACAGATGCTTGAAAGTTTAAACAATCTTCTCTGAGGCATGCTATACAGTGGGATACATTTTTGATAAAATCCGATGTCAACTTCCTCTTTGTCTGTACGTCTTTCCGTTTCATACAAATTTTCCTTGCAGTTTTCTCAACAACCACTCATCGCAAATGCTTAAAATTTTAACACACTCTTTTCTGAGGCATGCCATATGATGGGAATCATTTTTGTTTATATCTAAGGTCAACATCCTCTTAGTCTGTGTGTCTGTCCGTTTCAAACATACCAAATTTTCGTCGCCGTTTTCTCAGCAACTACTTATTGTTGATGCTTGTTTTCTCAGCAACTACTCATCGCAGATTCTTGCAGGTCCAGTACAATCACTAGATTTATCTACATAGGTAGAATTACCTACGTGGCTTTTTTTACCTACCTCAGATACAGTGGCTTTATTTAGCTATTTCAATGTAACTAAAATTTTCTTTTGATTAAAAAGAGGCAGAAGATCGCAATTAAATTACTATTGATATTTAAATTAGGGAGGTTTAAAAAGAATCCTAAGCAGAGATAGTTTATACATTGCTGCGTTTGGACAATTTAGAGCAAAACATGTAATTCCATTGTTTTGTTAACTGTCCTCTCTCATGCATGCGATGAGACATGGCTGAGTATGTTTACTTCACATTGTGCTGAATGATTGCCGACCTATTATTGTGATAACAGGAAGTGGACTTCTTTGTCATTTTATTCAAGGAGTAACTGTTCTAACTGTCATACATATCCCCAAAAATTTCAGAATTTTGATTGCAATTGCGGAGAAAAAGACATTTCTTCAAGAGAGATTTTTTCATGAATTGTTTTCAGATGAGTTCAATGTTGAAAATGATCACTCCATCAAAATGATATTTTCTGCACACCCTGAGAAAAATGTTTTTTTCAAATATAAATAAGTAGATTTGGTAGCTAATTAAAGCTTCCTCACGTAAATAATGCTATGTAGGTAAATCAAGCTACGTAGCTAAAACTAGTGATTGTACCAGAACTGGCTTGAAATTTTAACACAATCTTCTCTGAGGCATGCCATACGTTGGGATTCATTTTTAGCTCACCTGATCCAAAGGCTCAAGTGATCTTTTTTGATAACATTTTGTACGTTTTCCTTCCGTTCGTCTAGCTGTCTAGCTGTCTGTCCGTCTGTAAACTTTTCACATTTTCGACTTCTTCTCAAGAACTACTGGGCCAATTTTGACCAAACTTGGTACAAAACATCTTTGCGTGAAGGGAAATTTAAATTGTTAAAATAAAGGGCCAAGTCCCCTAAAAAGGGGAGATAATCTAGAAAAGACAAAAATAGGGTGGGGTCATTTAAAAATCTTCTTCTCAAGAACCACTGGGCCAGAAAAGCTGAAACTTATGTGGAAGCATCCTGGGGTAGTGTAGATTCTGAATTCCTAAAATCATGACCCCCGGGGGTGGGGCGGGGCCATAATGCAGAAATAAAATGTTACATAGAAATCATATAGGTCAATCTTTGAAAATCTTCTCAAAAACCACTGGGTAAGAAAAGCTGATACTTATGTGGAAGCATCCTGGAGTAGTGTAGATTTTAAATTGTTCAAATCATGACCCCTGGAGGTATGGCGGGGCCACAATGCGGAATCAAAGTTTTTTATAGAAATATATTAGAAAATCTTTGAAAATCTTCTTCTCAAGAACCACTGGGCCAGAAAAGCTGAAACGTATGTGCATATGGAAACATCCTGGGGTAGTGTAGATTTCAAAATGCCTTAATTATGATCAGTGGGGTAGGGTGAGGTCGCAACATGTATTGAAAGGGGGAAATCCGGTAAAGAACAGAATGGTCAAAGTTTCTCAGGTGAGCGATGTGAACTTCCTGTTTGTCTGTGTGTGTGTCCGTTTCATACATAACAAATTTTTGTTGCAGTTTTCTTATTTACTATTCATAGCAGATGCTTAATTTCAGTACACTCTTTTTTTTAGGCAAGTCATATGGAAGGATTAATTTTGAAATGAATCTGATGTCGACTTCAAATTTTTTATTGCATCTGCCTGTAATTAAACTTGTGTAAATTAACATGATAGTTGTTTGTTTACATCAGAGGGGGGGTATTACTAGTGAGCATTGGATCACAGATTTCTCGTTTTTGCGATTAAGCTTTTTTGGATCTGTTGTTATAAAGAGACATACACTTTAAGGTAGAACCTATGTCGGAAAAGTCTTTGTCACAAGATTTTCAAACTTTTCAAAATGATAAATTAGCACTCGCTTTTCAAACAGTTAAAAGCACATAACATGTTTCCTTGTTATCAAATATAGTGCAGCCTGTAAAATATGGAATGGTTATTACATGCTGCGAATACACATTTTAGTCATTTTTAGAAGTACTTGGAATAAAGAGAATAAGAAAAATCTCAAAAATACTTATTTAAACATCGTCCTTCGTAGAGTTTATAAACTGAACAGTATTAAACAGTATTTCTCAAAATTAAATTCTTTTTTATTCAATTGAACTAAAAAATAAGCCCACATAAAAAAAAAACATGAACTTTGTTATTCTTTTATCAATTTTCCACCCTAAATTTGTAAATATTTGTCAAAAAGGTTTTGTGAGAATGTTTTCAATCTTTTATATGATGAAGAACATACCAAAATGATTACAAAAAGTAATTAAAGTAATTACCTTTCCCCTCAAACTAACGAGAGATTATTTGCCGATGTTACTTTTCTTGACCTTTATGCACTTACACAGGATTTATTTATTAAATGACTGTTTTGGGTTACTTTCAGATATACAATGTAAATATTTGTCAAAAATTGTCTTTTTATATTTGAAAAGGTAATATATATTTGATAGAAAATTTGTAATCAAACACAAACCATTAAAAATAATTAATACATAATTACATGTAACATTATGGAAATAAATACATTTCATGATAGACATCAAACAATTATACCCAATCATCAACACATCTTTGACTCAAGACACAGTTATCAAGATATTACACTCTCTAGTTGACAACTGAAGATATTTTTAAGGATTTTTGCATTCCCTCAAAATAGTTGCATACCATTCACAAGTTATCACAATGTAATTTCATTACACGAGAAAGTCTTAGATTTGTCCACTTTAGGTCATGATCTACAATAAATGAAAGTTGCCTACAGGTTTCTCTAATTTGAGAAATGTATTAAATCAATTATCTTTATAATAAAAATATATTAATTGATTACAGTATATGTATTAAGAGTATTTTAGCATGATTTTGAATTGAATTCCTTGAATATCAAAATGCTTTATTTTGTAAAATTCCTATTAATTCACAGCTGTAAAGTACGGGAAAAGGTAACATCAAATTGATTTAGACGTCATAATGGATCTAGCATAGGCTAAACATATGATGTCATACGACGTAGGTTCTATGTTAAGGACCGGTTCACTGCGAGAAATATTCACGATGATGAATAAACGTTGGTTTACAGTAACTTGTCAGGATTTTGTTTTGATTTCAGACTCCAGTGATTCATGCCCTTGGTGTGAGTCTGCAGAATGAAAAGTACTACCCCGTTCCCAACAAGTAAGTACTACCCAATTCCCAACAAGTATGTACTACATGTACCACTTTCCTAATGTTTATATGACAAATTCAAAAACCATACACACTGTATTTAAAAAAGTTTTCCCAAATAACTGTTGTTAATAAGTTGGGTGATCTCATGCCCAATAAATGTTCTGGAAGTGTGCATTTCTATATGCAGCAGCATGAAAGTTTGTTTAACAGTAGAATTGAGATTACTGCTGCCTAGTAAAAAACCTACTCAAACATGGCATGTTTGTTTGAAAAATCTGGTACCCTGTATTTATAAATATAAAAATATGCTCCTTAATAAAATTTTAAACCCAATAAATGTTCAGGAAGTGAGCATTTTCTAAATTCATCGAACATGAAAAAGTAAATGTTTGTTTAGAATTGGGTTTATTGCCTCCTGGGAAAGAAAAGCTTAGAAACCTTTAAAATTGTCACCTATCCAGAAAATGTAGTTCAGTCTAGCATCTGAGCCTGTTTGGTTGTGAGCATCTTTAAATCAATATATACTGGTAAGGTTTGTGTAGGCGGGGCTGATTGTTACATTGAAATGGATTAGTTTTAAATAATAAAAATATTGTTTTCTTGATTAGGGGCAATTTCTTCACTATATCTCATATCTGTTGATTTTCCTATTAAAAAATATGGAATATTAAAAGAAGCCTGATTTATATGAATTAGGAAACATTTCAATTGTTGAAATGAAATGATGAATTTTGTGAGGAACAGTACAGTTTATACTTCCTTTTATATATAGGTTTGATCCAGATAGATTTAGTCCAGAAAACTCAAAGTCCAGACCGACTCTAGCCTTCCAGCCTTTCGGATTTGCCGGCAAAAGAATCTGTCCAGGATACAAATTTGCTTATGTTGAAGCCACAATAGGACTTGTGACCTTGCTTAGAAAGTTCAAGGTCAAATTGATTGAAGGTCAGGTCGTGACCCCAGTGTATGGCCTTATAGCTACCCCAGGAGACGAGATTTGGATCAAAATTGAGAAAAGATAAAATGGAGTGTATTAATGGTGTTTCTTCATTTGTGTTTAGTTGAAATTTACAACTTGATTGTTTTAAGAAAATACAATTTTGAAATGTGGAAACTGGTGATTGCATTAGCAATTTTATGAGATATTTTTAAATCATTTTTTTTAACTGTGTACATATTATTTAATTTTAAGTCCCTGGGAGAGGACATTAAATGGTCCCCCGTGTCAAGGATAACAACCCCTTTGGCACGTACAAGATCGTTTCACTTGAGTTTGAAAAAGAGTAGGCTCATTGGGGCTCGCCAGAGAAACCAAAAATTTTCAAAAACCGGTCAATAAACAAACTTGTCCGCCGAAATATGGCTCAAATAATTTCAGACTCGGCGTTAAACAATCATTCAATCAGCATTCTGTAGATCAAGGCTGTTATTTTCTATTTATACAAACTCTACAAGAAGCACTTTCCTTTTGTGTGCGTCAAGTAACATTAAACAGAGTTAAGAACTCACAAAATCATGACAGTAGGAATAGTTCAAATAAGTCATTTGTTTTGGATTCAATCGATAAATTTACCTATGAGGTCAACATCACTAGTCAATATTGTCTCTTGTCTGCTTCACTCCTCACAAACCTTTGTTCTTTCAATCAACACCAGAACACACTAGTCTTATAGTGAACAGACTTTTAATGTATTGGTGCTTGCAGTGAAGTGGTTTCATTTTGAATTCGCCCAGTGACAGTTCTGCTTTAGCTGCAGAACTGTAGCTCTTCGATAAAAATAATACAGACTGGTCTGTCAATATATTTTTATAAGAGAGCAGCAGTGATGATCTGCTTAAGGAAGTACAATGTATACTGTGTTTGTTGAATTCGACCCTTTTAGATCACCTATAATTGGGACAAAAGGGGCGGAAATAATACGAGGTGAAATACAGTATATACTGTATATATAACAAAGTAATTGTTATAAGCTTGTTTTACTATAAAGAATTTAAGAATTTTTTAAGATATGTAACTCAGTTGTGAGAACTCAACTGATCTGTTCAGGAAGGTTCTCTTTGCGGGGGTGGGGGTTGCTAGTGCCATAGTAGTGTAAACAATGAGTTTTAGCAGTAGGGCCATTTATAAGTGTAAATCGTGTAAATAGTGATGCATGAATGATGTGACTTTTGGTTAACATTTACAAACTGTGACCAACATGTATTATGTATGGTTCTAGATCTTTTAGATATATGGTCTCAAGCTGCATCTTGGTTGGCAATTTTTTTTTTTCTTGGAGTAAACATTTCCAAAGTTTCCCTCAACTATATGAAATATTTATTAAACTGAATGTTTTTTGCAAATACATTGCATGCATTAATTACGTGCAGTAAACATATTTTTGGATTATCACTTGTCCTCAACATTGTTGACTGTTGCTATGTTCTTTCACACATTATCAATAAATAAATATACTATAGGAGCACAATAGACTATTCGTGTTTTTTACCAAATATTTCTTGACAAATAAGATTCAACTTGTTTACATAAAATAATTATATCAGGACATGTAAATTGTTGATATGTTGCTTGTGTTAATGAAAATGTTTCTCAGACTGCTTTTAGAATTAGGCATGTATTGTCATATTAAATTGGATCACTCTTTGTTGTTTATTAAGAGAATAATCTTTTATGTCTCTTTAATTTATGTTAAAATATTATGTAATAAATTAAGTGCTAGAAAAAATGGTGCTACAGAATGATAAAGCTGGTGTATAGTCTACTGTTTTTAATTTGTGGCTGCCTTGTCAGCGTTTTAGTGAGCTTGACAAGTTCTGTCATTGAAAATAAGGACAATTATTTAAAGGAGGGGGGTCCAGTTACTTTGTTTTCTGCCTCTCCATTCTTAACTTTGATAATTACATTTGAGATTGTATGTTAGGACGTATATGGAACGGTCAAAGTATCATCTTATTTCAAAGGTCATATACACTGGAAGTACGGTCTATTAAATGTTTTAAGTAATAATAAAATTGTGCATTTTTTATTAACAACGTTTAAAAGTTTTATATAATACCTTTCTTGATTTTGTTATGTCTTTATGAAATGGTGCATTTGCAATTGATAATTTAACATCTTTCCAGAACTCCTTGATCCAAATTGTTGGTCCCAGGTAGGGTAGAGCTAATTGTAAGTTGGTCCCAGGTGGGTAGGGCTTACATGTAGTTGGTCCCAGGCAGGGTAAGGATTAGTTGTTCTAGAAAGGGTAGGGATAAGTAGGTCCCAGGTAAGGTAGTGCAAAGTTGTTCATGTTACGTACTAGTATTTTTATACCCCACACAACAAGTTGCATGAGGTATAATATTTTGACCCGTCCGTCAAAGTGTCAGTCAGTCCTGTTTTTTTTTTTTTTTTTTTTTTTTTTTTTTTTGTCAGCGCAACTCCTCATAAACCGCTGCATAGAATTTCGTCGAACTTTGCAGATATTTATGACACAATTCATCCTAGATTTTTGGGTCATTCCTTGAATATAGAGATGAACAGTTTGTCAGCACAACTCCTTTTAAAACACTTCACAAAATTTCTTCAAACTTTGCAGATATTTAGGATACATGCAATGTGTAGATGTGCATATTACCGGAAATTCCGACTCCTTTATTTTTTCCAGGATTTTGAGCACTTTGAGTTTTGGGGTAGCGTGGGGTATGTGAGCTTGCTCACTTTTTCTTTCATTGATTAACTCTTAAGAAACTTTGTTATTTGACAATAAACACGAAGTTCTCTTCAAAAATGCATATAATCCTGTAATATGCGCCCAGATTTAGGATCCCAGGATGAACAAAGAGATTCATATATTGAGAAACAAGAGACCCCGAATATTGCCAAAATATGGGGTTTTATCGTCCACTATCTAAGGACAGATCACGATATTTAGGAGCCATGGGGGAATGAGCATCCCCCGCTGACCGGTCACACCTGCCGTGTGCTCCTTGCCATGATCGGCAAATAACGGAAAATCCATCGATAATTCATTATGTAAATGATGGCCTAACAATTATTATTAAAAAAAGTCAGTCAGCATTTGAAACGATGATAAATTGTATAGGCGACAAGCTCATTGTATCGACCATAAAACTAACAAAATGATGACTTTAAACGAAAGTGTTCATTTTCTTGTTTCATCAACTTGTTTGTCAAAAATTACCTAGTTTGAGAATTGTTCATACATAGAGCATGCTGTTGCGTATCGAATGAACTGAGAGATATATACCCTGCATGCAGTTGATGAAGGTATCTTGCTGATTAAGTAAGGGAAGTTTAAGTTGACGATTGAAAATTAAGTTTTAAATAATAATTACGATTTTTTTTCAAGTAAAAGGTCGAACTATGAAACAGATGTGTCAGACTCAGTGGTATATTTTATTTAAAGCTCACCAGGATGTATTATATTGACATAAGAATGAAAATAACCATTGGTAATAGATGTGTCTTGAAGGCCACAGCAGGTGTTTTCTTCTTTTCACATTATAGGATTGTGGGCAAAATTTGCTTTATATGAATATAAAAATAGGTCTACCTATAATAGGTTGCAATTGGAACCAGTAGAGATTCAAATACTGTACAGCAGGAAATTAACTCGCTGAGTTAATATTCGCAATATTTGCGGAAAAGGAAATTCCGAGAATTCAACTTACAGTGAATAATTCTCTAAAACATTAATAAAAAATGAAATTTTATTATAATCTCTGATTAGATTCTTAAAATCTTTTTCATATATTGTCTTTCCATACAAACACAAAAGCAGTATTTAATAGATATCCGAGATATAGACTCTTTTTATAATTATGCGGGTGTGTGGATCAATTACAAACACGTAGTTGTTGATGTTTTTCAAGCTAATTAATTGTTAAATTAATTTCTATAGCTAATGATTAATTTTGCCATCTAGTAGACGAGCGATGTAATTATTTATAAAAAACATGCTCGTTTAATTTCACCTTTGCGTATCACTCAGTCATTATCTTTAATTAGTACTAGTAAACAAGGTAAAAACTATCAATTAATTTCAATTACAAGATTTAAAGTTCAAAACTTTGACTATGATAATTTTTTTCCTGACATGGACTCGGAAATAAAAAAAAAAATCTGAATGCTGATAACATGTTGACTTCAAATCGGAATCATTCCAGTGTTTCCTTATTATTCACGTATACTTTATTTTTGCCTGGCTGTTACACTTAAGGATTGTTTTTAAGTTTTGTTTGATTTATTGATGTGTAAATAACACAGACTTGTCAAGTACGTTCAACTTGGTGTATTTCATGAAGCTCGTTAGCACTTTATGAAAAATATGCCTAGGTGCAAGTCTAGTGTGATTTACACACCAAACTTAAAAACATTCCTTATATTTACAATTAACATGTCTGAAAGCACCAAAAATATACTCAATATTTCAATTTATCGTTCCACAATATTGTTACATTTTTACTAAAGTTGCTGTATCCTCATTGTGACGTCACGTTATCACTGCTACAGGTTTCTTCGTGTATATTTCTACGCGTGAGTGTACACGAAAATGGTGTTCAAATTAATTTTACAGTTGGATTAGTAGAAAACACAGCGAATGTAAATATTTTTTACATCATTTTGATTGACCCTGAATAAAACAAAGAGTATGCGTATAATCAAGAGATGAAAAAAATGGATTTATTTCACACACCTAATGAGGTGACAAAAATCCGTGCTTTGTTATGATGGACAGTTACCATGCAGTCGAAGTTTTGGATTTTTACGACTTTGGACTTAAATAATGATCATAAAAAATCTCGCTGAATATGCTCTTGTTTACCTGCAATTTGCTTCAAGGGTAGCGTTTTTTTTTTTTTTTTTTTTTAAGAATTAGACTTCGAATTTATATTATTATTAATCCTGTTGATATTGATATATGTTCATAATTATCATAAAGGAGAAAGAAAATTTTTATACCGAGTATAGTAAGCGGAGTTCTTAAAGTTTAGGACCTTGTATTACATATAGATTTAAATTTGATTTGTTACGAGTATGTAAATGTCTGCATAATTAATATTACACATGAGAAGAGCGAGG